AGAAACAACACTGTGCGTCCCTTTCTATTAATTTGTCAAACGCATTAGACACTGTTGATCATTGTATTTTAAAACTTAGACTCCTCCAGTCAGGACTCAGAGCAGTGGCATGGTTCTCAAACTGTCTCAGTGATATGTCTCAGTGCATTAAATCTGATGGTCTGAATTTGTTACAGTGCACAACGGAGTGCCACAGCACTCACCTTCAAACCACATGTAGAGAATCTCGTGAAAAATCTGAAGTTAAAACAGATTTTATTTTCAAAATAAGTTGTGTTTTTCTTACAATACAAAGAATCTGCTTTTAAATGCAACATTTTTGCCTGTGCTGGATTATGGAGATATTCTATACATGAAAGCTTCTGCTCAATGTCTTCGAATGGTTGATAGTGAAGCATGCTTCACTGAGGTTCATCACTAACCGTAAATCTCAGACTCAACACTGAGTTATACTCTCGGGTAGGATGGCCTGCTTCGGCAAGTCGGAGGAACTCTCATTTATACAGTTTTATATAACAGACATTTAACACCCTTGGCTTGGAACAAACTGCAGAACGACTGGAAAAACACTGAATTATTTCATAAAGCACTTAAGTGCTAACTAAGAATCCCTGAGGCCAAGTCCATAACATGCAATTGCTTCAATTAGATTGTCATTTTAACTGAATTTTTGTATTTTCCTTTGATTTTTAAATTTTTTTTTTATCTTTATTTTATTCTTTTCATTTAATTTTGCATTTGTGTTGTTGCTGTCTGTGTTTAACAGTAATTTCTGTAACTGTGACTTGTAATTTGCTGCTGCCCATCCCTTGAAAAGGTTTTTAATCTCAATGGGATCTTCCTGGTTAAATAAAGGTTAGAAAGAAGTAGTAAAATTTAGACATTAAAAATCTATTTTCAACACATCTCTAGAATCTCAACAATCTAATTTGAATTAATGAACTTCATAATTCATGATTAGCAGCACAGAAACTGTTCCCAACTGCACCCAAGTGTTGTTACTGTGTTTTTCAAATGACAACAAAGGAGCGTCGTGACGAATAAACCGGCCTGACAGTTGGCTCAAAGAAGGCTCGTCTAGTTCCCTGTGAAACAATTTGAGCAGCATAAGATGAAGCACAGGACAACTCATTTTATACTAACTGCATTTCATATAGTGTGCAGACAGCATCTAGATCCAGTACACAAGAACTCCATAGCGTGAGAATGCTGCAAACATACCCTGAACACTGTCCTGTTTTAAGACCACATACATTTGAAAAGTTAATAGCATATATTTCTTATTAATTAGACTCAGATTGTAAAAATTACATTTCAGGACTGAAGAAGAGTGCCACCTCGAGACCCCTTTATAGACATTCCCCTGCATTTGCAAATTGTTATGGTTCTTTGTTGATTTGTGCAGGGTTGGAAAAAAAGGACATTGGTCAGATTTCTTATGGAGATTTCTTACATCACTATACATATTAAAGCACACTTTAATAACCGCGGTTTGGTTGAGAGCTACTAGAATATTCTAGAATTTTAGAGCCATCTTGTGCCTGTAAGTCTGCAGATGAAGCCAACGTGAATGAAGCAGTGCAGTTTCCCTAAAACACCACCCTGAATTGTCAGTGCTGTGTATCAGATCGTAGGCCTAGTGTTTGGTCTCACTTTAATTAGGGGAGCTGTTAAATCTTTGCTAACGAATCAAAGCTTAACAGGGTTTAATTTGCAGGACTCTTCAGTTATAGTAACACAGGTATTTTAACAAAGGCCCATTCTCTTATTTACAAGAAGAGTTTTAGCCCCATTTCCAAACAGCAGGAGGTGAGTCAGGCTTACCTCTTGGAAAAGCTGAGGAGTAGTTCACCTCACTCAACAAACAGACCAGCAATAATCTGTTAAACAGTTACAAATACACAGTCAAGGTAGACCCAGACAAACAAAGACTCAAATAAATAAAATGGAACTAATAAAACCCATTTGGTTTCATATTTAATGTGTTACCTTGCAATTAGGAAGCCAGCAGCCATGACTGCTGCAGTCGCTGTGTCCTCACAGCTGCGAGCGCTGAGCTGGACTGTGCAGCACAGCTGCCCTGTCAGCCGTGGATCCAGAAAGCCCAACTTCCAGCTCCTCCAACCAAACACCCACGAGACTCAAAGTCGAGCATCCAAGCCACGCGGCTGTCTGTGTGTGTCTTTTCCATCTTCCTAATGAAAAGTTGGGCTGAAGCAAACTCTGCCTCACACAGGTGCAAACACTTGATGTGATTGGCCTGGCTGAGACGTTAGAATGATTGAATCTATGCCCCAGAGGGGATGTGGACAATAAGAACACATTTGATTTCAACTTCTGACCTGATTGTCTAAGTGCAGAGCTGTATTATAGTGGGTTTTTCTTTCTTTTATAATTTTATACACCTTGCACACATTTTTTTAAAGGCCTTGTATTGACATCAGGAGCCACAGTAAAAAACGATGATCCCATATTAAAGATAAATGTAGCCTCTGTGATGTCCCCCAACCCGTCTCGAACCCTTAAGTTCAGTATTTCTCCCGACCAGCTCTTGGTGTTTGGAAACTGAACGTGATCAATGAGGGTTGGATCTGGCTGATTCACTGCTTACTCACGTGGTTGAGAAACCTGAAGGGTTGGTTTCTCATAAACCTTTAAATAATGTGATTATCTTTATGACGTTCATATATAAAAATTGCGAGTCATGCTTTACACTGAAGTAAGAAAACACAAATAAAGGGAGTAAAAGTTTTTCAGTGTCAGGTAATTTCAAATGCAGCGTTTCTGTCAGCTCAACAAACATCAGCAAACACAGTGAGACTGTGACACAGCGTGCTGCAGCTGAAGGTCCAGCTGTTGTATTTCACAGGGAGACAAAAGAAAGAGAGCTAACTTCACTCACAGATGGAGAAAGATAAGAAAGACAGGACAGGAGAGGAAGAAGAGATGTTATCATTAACCTCTGCTCAGTGGGATTTGATCAACTGCAAATGTAAAGCCTCGTGGTTTTCAATGAGATACCGATCTGTACATGTGACATCGTGTTTCTTCACGCTGTGAAACGTGTGGAAAAACAAACTGTCAGTGTAGAGGATGGAATAGTACAACTCATAAAACACCTGCTGACATCTTGTTAAATTCGGTTGTGTAAATCCACAAAGAGCAGTAAACCTCAGAGCAGCAGTAGCCCAGATCAGCTGATCACAGCCTGTACACAAAGAACATCTTATTTTTCTTTCATTTTCCTTCTTTAACTCATTTTCTACTCAAAAGTCTATTGCAGTGTGGTTTCACAGTTGAAGAAAGGCCTTCTGTTTCATGCAGAGTGGGACTTTGTGGTTTTACATGACCTGGCTCATGAGTCTGCTCCTGTGTTTCGGAGGCACTAGTTCAAGAAGGGTTGCCTTGATCCAATCATATCTGTACTGATGAAGAGGGAACAGATAAGTCGGTTTGACCTGGTTTGGGGACAGCAGGAGCATCATTTCCACCATCACGTCCTTCCCTGGACAAATCCCCCTCTTCATTTCTGACCAAAAGATCAAAATAAGGAATTCTCAGACCAAATTCATAGCTTTTGGGCTTGGGTGATTGATATTTCTTCTGTGGTGGAGGCTGGAGTAGAACAGTCTCCTTTGGCGGCAACATTAGATCGTGGCTGCAGTTAGAACAAAACAGTCAAGCTAAACAACTTTATTGATCTACAGTCCAAAACCAACATGAAAGAAGTGAACAGTAGTGAATGGAAGTGGACAAAGTTTCCATAATCAGTTTTTCCTAAGTTCATTGTTAATTAGTTTGCTTTATAGCAGCTATAATCCTCTATAGCAAGAGATGAAAAATAATATTTATGGATGCTGTGGCCTTCAAGAGCAATCATGAGGGGAAATGTGTATAAAAGTCTTGCCATTCTTCTCTCTGCATTTAAAAGCTTCTCTGACACTGAGACACACCCACACACTGGTGGGAGGAGCCTCTTGTACCACTGAGGTTCAGATGTCATCAGCTTAATAAAATACTGTTTCAGTTTTTGGCTGAGATGTGGAAACCTTTGAAACAACTCATTGTAGACTACTGGCGTCAGTGCACCAAGCCATAAGAGCCCCACTGCTTTTTTTTTTGATGTTCCAGGTAGATCTCACATTCTGGAGAAACCTGCTGCTCTCTGCAAAACAGAGCACCAACATTCAATTCAATTTCTGCTCACCGGTTCCCTCAAACACATGTTTTATGCGACTGCTCTTGCAGAGCACTTACCCGTCACCTAGTGGACGTTAATTGTGCCAGTGCACTGCTGCATTTTTCTAGTCTGTTGCACATTTCCTTTATGCTGTGATGTGTCACTGCTGTGCTTCAACCTCTTTAATATATAAAAAAAAAAAATAAAAACTTTTTTGAATAATGGACTTTGTGTTTTGTGCATTGCTATTGACTTTTGCAAACCTTGGAGGCTCAGCTTTTAACAAAACCCTCAAACACATCTTTACAGATGTTCTGCCACTCCCCCTACCATCAGCCCCACTGCCAGCCAGCACAGAATACTTGAAGTAGAACCATTTTACAGTTCTTCCACAATGATGCACTGGATTAAGGAGTAGCAATATTAAAATCTTATGACAGGCACTCGATTAAAGTTCCAAAACCATTTCAAGTTTGTATGCAAGCAACTACTGAAGGATGGAACGTCTGATTCACTCTCAGGGACTTTTAAATGGCAGCTCTAGTGAAAGTGAGGGCTAGAGTTGGCTCAAAGACAGGACACTTGATTTTGTGTCAAGCCTGCGATAATTGTCAAATACTGGGCTCAGTTACATCTCTAGATGCAGTTCAAAATGTACATCACCCAAATATTTAATGGGCTGCAGAGTCAGTGGCTTTTAACATTCGGGCATAGACTTGTTGCTTGCAAACACATGAATGTCATTAGCTCTAAAGATCAACCTCAACCCAAATGTTCAGCTATTCTTTCAACCTGACAGAAGACGAGAGAAACTGCAGGAGAGCTTTCACACTTTATTTTAGATAAATACAGGAGATCCTTTTTGCACTGCAGAGCTGTGAAGGAGGAAGAAATATGAGGAACAGGTTTTAACCATCAAGAAATACCATGTTGTAATATCCAAAAACCAGTGACCCAGCTGAGCCCTGCGAGTTTGGCTCGTCTCTTCCATCCATGTCAGTCTGAAGCTGACCGATGGAAATTTGGCCAAGGGTCAGAAGATGGATGCTTTACATGACCCCAGTGAGGTCCATGGTAATACCACCAGTAGTCGTTCCACGTAGGATTCATGTGGGAGTTGTAGTAGCCACTGTAAGGGTCGACATATCTCTGAGGATGGCGCGGCCTTGATGGGCGTTCCAGTCCATCTGGCTCCGGAAATGCAGAGACCCGACCAGGGCGGCCTTCATCACGATGATGATGCTCATCGGGGTGCGGCCTTGTATGAGCCGGCACATAAACCTGCGGTCTTTGGTGGCCCAAATCAGCTTCCGCAGGCCTGTGTCGATGTCCGCCGTGATGTTCCTGGCGGCGTGGAGAACCTCGTGAAAAGGGAACGGATAAGCTGAACTGGTAGCCCAGCTTGGAAGCGTCATGGCCATGGCGTCTGCCGGGATTATTAAAACTGTTGTCAATAATAAAGCCGCTTGGTCCGTACCCAGGAGGATTAGCACCATCACGAGACTGAGCAAAAGGAATCCTCAGGCTCAAGTCAAAGCTCCTGGGCTTGGCCACAAGGTGGTTTCTGTGTGCTCGAGGCTGGAGCGGATACGTTTCCATGGGTCTGTGGGCGGGAATATTGGAGCGTGGCTGATACGATCTCGGGGATTGGACTTGGACCTGATCGCGCACATTAGGGTAGATCTTTGGATCTGTCGGCTGCAGAGCCCTCATGTACTGGAAAGGACGAGGACTTCCATACACATCGTGTTCCCCTCTTCCACCCTGCCACGCTCTAGGCTGCACAGGACTTGTGGCTGAGAGAGAACATGGGTAAGAATACAGATTATAAGGTTGAAACCCCATGTACATCTTCAGTTTCTCAGTATTGTTTGGATACAACTTCAGTCTTGAGTTTAAACCAGTGTCGTAGACCTTTGCATTCTTATACCTTTTTAACATCAGGGAAGAAATCGCTTAATTTGCTTGATCCACTCAGGCAAAGCGTGATATTCATGCATTTTTATACCATCTACAGTTACAATTGTTCTTTTCCAAATTTAACAGGGAAGAACTTGACCTTTTAAAGTGATTACTGGAGTAAAAAAGGTAATAAAACACCAGTGAAACAGCCAAGCTTACGATGACTGATTACAATGCGTCGTAAATGCAACCTGTAGAGTTTCCACCTCACTGAATGAAAGTCTGCCGTCACATTAAAGCAGTGGAGCTCCAAGTGTGCAGCTGCCACATTACAAATACAGAGCAAGGACGGCAGTGCAATTAACACATCAGTAGATTCGTTTTACTGCAATCTGTTTAAATACCTTTGACTGAATTAAGCCTGCTGATTTGGACATGAGGCATCACAACTTTACCCCAATATCTTTAAAGCCCTGAAAAAGTACACTGAGAGACGTTTAGTGACCAACAGCTTTATCATCTGAAGTGGGGAGTGAAAGAAAAGACTGCCTGGATAACATACTACATAATTTGCACCAGTGTAAATAATAAAAGGACACTCTTAATCCTCTCCTTTCACAGACTTGAATTATTGATGTGCTCTCGATCATATTACAACTTTTACCAAGGCTACTGTATCTCCTATACCCTCCCACATACCCAGTCAGACTTTCTCCCTAAATCTCCAACATAAGTCTGTAGAATAATGAATAAAGTATTTTCTAAAGGGATGCTGCAGACTGTGGGTGCAGGCATGACTTCACTGGAGTCTTCAAGTCAGACAGCAAGTTATCATTTCATAAATCATTGGCACGGGTTCAGCATGCTCACCTCCTGGAAAGGCTGAGGAGTAGTTCACATCACTCAAAACATAAAGCAGTAAAAACCTGTCAAGCAGCACAAATACAGTCAAGATAAAACACGACCAAAGGCAGCATTGAAGTACAGGAAGTGTAGATCATGAAAGCACATTTAAACGTGGTACCTTGCAATGAGGAACCGAGCAGCCATGACTGCTGCAGCTGCACTCGCTGTGTCCTCGCAAACCCTCCAACCAGACTGTGCATGCAGTCGTGCCCTGTCAGCTACTCCAGCCAAACACCAGTGTGCTTCTGAGTCAAGTGTTCAGGACATGCTGCTGTCTTTATAGGTCCTTCCTACTGCAGGTGTTTCCAATTAGCCTGTTTTAATGAGAAGTTGAACTGAGGTACCCAACAGGTCAACTTCCCTCCCCCATACAAGTGTGAGGGAGACACACACAGGCAGCCTCACGCAGGTGTGACCACTAGATGTGATTGCTCCAGCAGAGAGCACTTGCCTGTCTTCTGCAGAGGATATGATGCATTACAGCAGAGGGTTTTCTGCTCAGCTGCTCTCTCCTTTTACTTATACATGTTCATTTTGTTCGTCGCTCAAACATAAACTGTTGCTCCAGGGCCTCGCAGGTTTAATCCAGAGAAGACCAAAAAATTCTGTCTAGATTCTGACTTTATGACCCTGATGAAGACCACAAGCCGAAGCACGTTGGTCACCCAATACAGCAGATCCCTAATACTTTAAATGTCACCGAAGTCATCAGATCTTTGTCTTCTCCTCACCCGTGTTGCTAAATTCAGACTTTACAAAGGAAAAGTGAAATAAAAATTTCTGTCATAAACTTATTTTGTTTATTTATGATGCACTGTATTTCAAACGTCCTAAGTATATATTTAGGAGTTGAGTTTTTATCCATTAAAATCATAAAAAAACTGCAGTAAACTTTCTGAATTGATAATGTTAACTGCTTTAAGAAGCCATGCATCTGATCGCACAGCTATGACTGTGACTTTGCATGCATGCACAGTACTCCAACAGTCTGTTTGGTACTCCATTCACAACAAAGCAAGCTGGCTGTCGGAGCCATAAAGATTGAACCTCGGCCTCGGCTGTGCAGTCACCGTTGCAGCTTAACAATGATGGATCTGCACAAGGTGTCGACTTGTTTATTTTGACTTATTCATTTCCTCGCCGGTTTATTTCCTCCCAAGGCCCGCAGCAGCAGCAGCAGCAGTGACTTTTTGCTTGATGAACTGGTTTGAATTTAACAAACACAGCATTATCTACTTCCTGTAGCTGCAGGTGAAACCTAAATCCAGTCCCCCATAATAATAATACTGACAAACATACTGGGACCCATCAGTGCCTCGCTGTAACTTCCTTCACCAATCACATTTTCTTATATAAATCTGCTGTAAAAATGAAAGCAGTCAAGATATGAAACCACTTTCAGAATAAAGGAGAACTACATTAAAAACTTAACATTTTTATTTACCAATTACAATTTATGAGACACACAGTGATATTATTAATGTGCTTCAGACTTCTGTTTTCTGGATGGATTTCTGTCTCTCCAGCTCAGCTTGGAGTCTTCCACAGTGCAAATGCATATTTTAAATTAAATTTAGCTTTGCAGGCTCAGTGTTAAAGTTAAAAGGAAAAGATGACTCTATTTATTACTTATAGTCAGTAAATATCATTCAGTAATATTTACGCTGTGAGACATCGGCTGAAGTTGAACGAGGATCGGGCTGCACTTTTGTGTAATACTAATTCATACCACAAGATGGCACAGCAAGTCAATGCAGCACTTACATCCATCCGTTTATAGACGTAGGTCACAGAGTGAGGGGGTTGGACAGGAGAGCGGTAGAATCACTGTTTAAGCACGGACACATGCAAACACAGGTTAGACAAAATACGGCATGTCCTATTACGCTAAGCCTTTCTGGTGAACGTTGCACTCTGGTGTCTGAAGGTTCTCAGTCATCCAGGTCATGGTAGTCTAAGGAAGACGAGAAGCTTCTTTAGTTCTAAGAGTCAAATGGTACTGGGACTCTCCACCATTTGACTTTTAGAACTAAAGAAGCTTCTCGGAGGTGAAACATCTTCAACAAGTCAAAGAAGTCCAGACGCTTTTCTTTCCAAGCTCCTTAGACCCCTGGTGGTAGGGCTGGGCGATATATCGAGTTTTTTAAAAATATCGATATATTTTCATACGAGATATAAGATGTGACAATATCGTTTATATCGATATAGCTTATGTTACGTTATAATTATACTTGTGGAGCCGCAGGTTTGCCTCTCTTTCGTCCACTTTTGTCTCTACGCAACGTTACTCGACCTCGCCTCTCCTTCACTGAACACAACTCCGCCTCCCCCATTGCTTCACCTGCAGGCAATGACAAGATGAAAGCGGAAAATCTCCGTTAGCGAGTTACCGCGGATCGTCCCGTGTGTGGGGCTGGACGGCGTCAACGTGTTAGCGAGCTAACCGCGCTAACGAGCTAACCGCGCGAACGACATGCAGCCAGGAGGGGCTGCACGGCCTAAAATCCTTTCATTTTCTCAAAACTCGACAGTGCGCCTTATGTATGAATTCTGGTTGTGCTTACTGACCGCGAACCGATTTTATGTGGTACACAGCGCTCAGCAATCTGTCAAAAAAATTTTAATATGACTTTGCTAAGCTACGGAGCTGCACCGCTTGATGGATTGTCGGAGGATTACGGCTACCGAGGAGGAGCCTCGCGGAGTGATACGTACTGTGTGTGTATAAGGACCACAAATGGCACCTGTTCAGAGACGTGGTGCAGCTGTGAAATCTGTCTCTTTGTTATTATGCTCAGCATCTATTAGTTTACATTTTGACTGCACAATTGTGAGCTTTTTGTTATGCACAAAAACAACATTGTTTTCTTTTATTTATGAACCATGATTATTTAACAAATGCTGATAATTTATTTTTAAGTAATTTCTTCATGTACATCTACGCTGTATGTAAATAAAAGTGCCCGTGTGACATCTGGGACACAGTGTGACTAAGAACTCTCTTTTTGTTCTTAACTTATGGCTTTAAAAAAAAAATCGAGATATATATCTTATATCGCCATCCAGCTAAAAAATATCGAGATATGAATTTTGGGTCATATCGCCCAGCCCTACCTGGTGGTCAAACATCTTTATAGCAGGTAACTACAGAAGTCCCATAAAGCGTTTCTAAAATGATAAGTAAGGGGGCTCAAAGTAGATATATTAAGTCATTATTTGCGAATCAAACGTTTAAAACTCTAAATGATGAAGTCAGATGTTCAAAAGGAAAATGTGTGTTGCTGTGCAGCTCAGTCTAAACCTTTTGACCATCAGCCGTAGCGTTGTTTACTGCCGGCCTGCTGTCATTTGTTTGGCCTTTGCTCTTCGTCTATGTATTCCCCTCTCGTTCTCCTCTGGATTGATTCCTTTGTGCTCCGTGTCATCCCGCGGGGGATAAATGATGTTGTTTGCCCCTCTGACAGCCAATCAATACCTCATTTTGTTTCATTTTCAGATGCTGCGTGTGCAAACGTGCACCTCTGTTTATGTTTGCTTATGTATTTGCCAGAAAGCTCTCATTGAGTCGGTGGCTAATTGCTCTGCTGATTAGGACTTCATCCTCATACCGGCTGTGTTGATTTAAACAATCCAATATGCGTGTGCTTGTATGGGCGTCTTGAGCGCCCGTGCCTTTTTTTCTGTGGGAACAGTTGGCACAAGCCGCAGCACAACACAGTGAGCAGGGCTGAGCGGGTGTTACGCTGGAATAATGATGACAAAGAGCCACCTGTCAGAGCCGGGGCTCTTTCAAAATGTCATTTCACACTGAATGGGTAATCAGGTCGGCGGCGTGTGAATTGGAAGGCTGCGGAATTACAGGCTTCTCAAACTTTTTAATGTCAAGTATACTCTCAGAGAGGCAAGGCGGGCACACGTGGGGGAAATAATATGGTGTGGGACATCTGTCTGAGGGAGGGAGACTTTAGAGTTATTAGATTTAGTGAGGTGTGTGTGTGTGTGTGTGTGTGTGTGTGTGTGTGTGTGTGTGTGTGTGTGTGTGTGTGTGTGTTGGTGAATAATGAGGTGGAAACAACTGAGAAAAAATGGTTCTATTCTTTGTGGATAAATCATAGGGCTGCTATCAGCTGGCTGAAGCGGTGCTATCTATCTGGAGCTAATTGTGCATGAATTATGAGTGAATTCCAAGTGGTTTCAAGTGAACGATGCAGCCCAAATGCAAACCAATCAACCATAGTTGGGCTCAATAAAAAATCACTTTGAAAGTGATGTTGTTTGCTTTCTCCCCGAGCTTTTGATCAATCTGTCATTATTAGTAAGTGGCTCCTGGAGCAGGAGTTGGTAACCTTTACTTAACGAGAGCCATTACCGAGCAACATTCGACCACAAACATCTGAATGGAGCTGCAAAACATTTGAGCTTTCTAATAAGGTGACACAGTAAACAGAAAGTTTCTACATGTAAATAAGGTTTTATATATCAGACAATAATTAAAGTAATCTGGTCCTCAGCAGTGTTGGTCAAGTTACTTGAAAAAAGTAATCAGTAACTAATTACTGATTACTTCCCCAAAAAAGTAATCCCGTTACTTTACTGATTACTTATTTTCAAAAGTAATTAATTACTTAGTTACTTTTTAAAAACACGATTTACACCCTGAAGAGGTGATAAAGCGATAGATCTTTCAGCCCAATTCTACTTTTTCTGCATAATCCATCATACAAAATGTAATCAAATGGAAAAGTCTCTTTTTAAAACTTGTTTTATTAGTTTTAATCTTTTAACTTTATGCATCAAGCAAAAATTTAATTATACTGCAACATTCTCTGACTGGAAGAAATTAGTTTAACATTTAAACCTATTTTCTGCACATTCCAGCACATAAAATAAAATATTTTTTGTGTTTACACTCAGTCTTTCAAATAGATGCAAGTAAAACACAGCAGAAAATAAATAAAGTCAAAGACTCAGCGGTCCTGTTGCTCTATTTTCACCTGTAAAGCAGGAGTGGGGCAGGCGGAGGGTTACCCTGGTGCAGGTGTGCCGCGGTCAGTGGAAGAATCCGCGAGTTTCTCTGTGAGTTTCCCATTACGTCGTAGCTACTCGGTGCTTGTTGGAAGTTTAGGGGTTTTTTCGCTGTAAAAAGAAGTTTTCTTCCCACGCACAGCGGACACTCATGTTTTTGTCACTTTTTATGGAATCAAACTCAAAGTAAGGTCAGTACTTCCACGCTTTAAACGCTGCACGCTCATACTCTCTCTGCACTC